TCCAACCAATATCAATTGCTAGATTTGGGTTTTCTACTTTTCAATTCTCACCCAAGTTATTTTTTCTTCTTTTTTTGGATGCTCCTTACAGTTTAAAGCTGAGAACTCTGCAACAAGGTGTGAAATTAAGAAGAAGCTGAATTTTGAAAGGCATTGAATCTTTCTTTTGTTCATAGCATAGCATCAGTTTGAATAAAAAAATGGGTGCAGTTTGTTCAGCGGGCATGGTTGAAGGAAATGCGAGACACGATGAGAAGCTTAAGAAAGAAAACAGATTTATAAATAGGAAAGGAGAAGGTTTATCAGATTCAAGGAGTGATGGTCAAGGTAAAAAGCAAAAGAAACAAGACCATAGGTTATCCATTGACTCAAATTTATCAATTTCAACCCCTGAAGGGAGAAAACAGGTACCTTTACTGTGCTTATTATTTCATATGTTATTTGGCTTCATTTCATCGTTTCATTATAAACAACAATCCGACCTTATTCTTATTAGCTAGATCGGCTATATTGTATTTTTATATATTTTCTAAAAGGTAGACCAGCCTTCATGTCCTATATTCTTCTTACCGAGATTTCTAACGATCTTCTTAAGACATTCCCAAAGAGATAGGTTGTTGCAATCAAATGCACTATTAGCTTTGAGTCAAAGAGATGTTATTAATCTATACACAATTGAACAAGTACGTATGAACGTAAGTCAATGGTGAACATGGACCGAGTTTGGGCATGTCCCTTAACCGACCCTTAATAATGATTGGTGCTAATTCGGATGTATGATGTCTCTTGTTTTATAGGTCAACCAAAGGGGATCCTTTTTAGGAAGAGCTAGCGAGAGGGCAGTAGAAGTTTTGGACACACTTGGAAGTGGCATGACTAAATTGAACACCAGTAGTGGGTTTGTCTCTGGCATGACTTCCAGAGGGAAAAGAATATCTATATTGGCATTTGAAGTGGCTAATACAATAACCAAGGGAGCAGTTTTGTTCCAATCACTCTCTGAAGAAAACATCTGGTTCCTTAAAAATGAAGTTTTACAATCGAAAGGGGTTCAACAATTAGTGTCAACTGATATGGAGGAGTTACTAAGTCTTGCTGAGGCTGACAAAAGGTTCTAATTTGTTCAAAGAGTTGCATGCTTTTTTTTTCTCATAGCTTTAAATTTCCTTTATACTCTATATATCTGACATCTGGGGCAATCTGTAGGGAAGAAATCAATCTGTTCTCACGGGAAGTAGCTAGATTTGGAAATATGTGCAAAGATCCACAGTGGCACAACCTAGATCGATATTTCTCAACGTGGGTTTACTTTTACATGGCTTGTGCTAAGATTAGGATAACTTTATCATGGCTGAGTTCTTAGATTACTAGAATTACAAGCATTTTATATAAGAATTTTGTGTTTCAGATTAGACTTGGATGATGTTGGCGACAAACAACTCAGGGTAGAAGCAGAAAAGATAATGCAGGAGTTTTCCAGCCTAATTCAGCATACTTCTGTAAGCTCATTTTCATTTAAAATAAAGTACTTATTCTTTTAATCTCTTGTGGGAACCAATGGCTGAGAAAAGCCATTGTTATCATTCTGGTTTCTTGTATGTATGCTGCGTGATTTTGATTATCGATCTTTGACATTAACTATATGCAATTTTGAGACATAGTACCATTTATGTTATTTGTATGTCCTACATCTGTTAAATTATGTGTTCTTTACTGGCAAAACTTGGTTTTTCCATTAAGCGTGTTCACGATTCCTTCTTTAAATAATTAATTTCTCCTTTCATGTAGGAACTATACCATGAATTAAATGCTTATGAACGTTTTGAACAAGATTATCAGCAAAAGATTAAGGAAATGGAGTCCTTAAATATTCCTCTTAAAGGTTAGAAACTTTATAACACAGTTCTTCCTTCATAACATATTTTCACAGTAGACTTGGTAATCCAATCTTGATTATAGCTTCTCTTTTCATTTTGCTAATAATGCAATATTATATTAATGCTTGAAATGGGTATGTATTGTAATAATAATCTCACAATAAAAAACTATTGGCTTATAATTTTTGTTACCCACTGTTAAAAGCATGTCTAGTTGTGGCTGAAGTATATTATAATTATTAGTAGGCCTGAGAAATAGTTTCAGATAGTCAATTTGGATCTTGAGTCTGACAAACATACTATCTGCTAGACACTTGCAAACTAAAATATGCAGAGATTAACAGCTCTAATCTCTTTGTAATCATAGGGGAGAGTATCACAATTTTTCAGAGTGAGTTAAAGCATCAAAGAAAGGCTGTGAGGATCTTGAAAAAGAAGTCTCTATGGTCCATACATTTGGAGGAGGTATATTATTGTTATGGAATAATTCCTAATTTTGCATTTCATGTTGTTGAATTCTGTATTTCCCTGTGTATTCTTATTTGAATGGATTTTTAGGTATTAGTGTAGAAGTGAATGTTTTATGTTTTCAGATTTTGCAGCAATGGATTTACTGTTGAATTTGCATACTGCAGATAGTTGAAAAGCTCGTTGATATTGTTACCTATATACTTCAAGCAATTCATGAATTCCTTGGAAATAAAGGTATGAGAAATATATAATATAGTTTTGATTACATTTTATTATGCACTAGGAATTCATTACATCTAGTAAACTTAATGTTTGAAGTCAGAACTCGCTCTATGAATCACATGCCTCATCCTTTTGTGGAAGAAAATCACATGCCTGCTGTCTCTATGACATGATTTTCAGTAAAGCTACCACATAGTAGACTAATTTTGGCAATCTAAGATGCGTTTCTCTGCTCGTGTACTCTAAAATGTAAGCTGTAATAAACAGCTGCTGCTTTTCTTTGTTTGCTATTCATGCAGGTATATCTTCTGCCAAGGATGGTAAGGGTCCTCAAAGACTAGGCCAAGCTGGTCTTGCGCTGCATTATGCTAACATCATCAATCAGATAAATACGATAGTAAGTGCGGCACATGCTAAGAAAATTTGTAGTGACCTTATTGATCAGTTGTTTTTGTGAAGTTAAAGTAGTTTATTTCCATCAGGCATCTCGCCCAACTTCTCTTCCTCCAAGTACGAGGGACTCATTATATCATTCTTTGCCCAACAATATTAAGACCGCTCTACCATCCAAGGTGCAAACCATTTCTACAATGAAAGAGGTACACCCTCCCACTTTGGGATGTTTATTACACTGCATTTTCCGATCCTTTTAATGGTATCATCTTTTTTGGATTGCTTTTCACCGGAATCACGATTAAAAAATACTGAGTTTTATTTAGTTTTGGATTAATACTAAATGAAATTACTATTTCATGTAGCTCTCCATCACTAAGATCAAAGCTGAAATGAATAATACTCTTCAGTGGATTGTTCCATTTGCCACCAATACAATCAGGTAAATGGAATATATTTGCTTCAATTTCATTCGAAACTTAGAAGTCCCGACAAGTGCTCATTATTTTTTCCTATTTGATATTGCTGACAGAGCACATCAAGGTTTCGGATGGGTTGGCGAATGGGCAAACACGAGGTTAGTAATAAACTTCAATCTCCCTTATGATTAAGTCTTTACTCGCAACGTAAACAAATTGCAACAGGAGTTATCATTACAATCTAACATAATTTTTGTTCCTGATATTGCAGTCATGACTTAAGTGATGATAACACAGCCAGAGAAAGTAGCCTGATTCGCCTCCAGACACTTTATTATGCTGACAAGCAGAAGATAGATAATTACATCATTGAATTGTTGGCTTGGCTTCACCATTTGATAAGCTTTGTGAGATCCAGACAAAACACAATGAATCCAATGCCTACAAGATCTCCTAAAGGGCTTAATTTCCATTCCAACAAGATGATACAGTTTCTATCGGTTGATCGGAACAAGAATCTGGGAACTCAACTATCTAAAGAGGATAGGAGGTTATTGGAGGAAGTGATTGCAAAGAGAATGAATCCAGGAATTAGCAAAAGCGAGAATTTTGGTATGCCTATAAAAAAAGAAGCAAGAGATTTGCACAGGGCCAGAAGTGTTGGGAGTTCACCTATTAAGGACTTCTTTGCTAATAGTACTACACTCATCATGGAACATCAAAACGTTTTAGATGTTATGGATGGGTTACCATACTAATTACTCAACCAATCCTTCATCCACAGAAAGTGCTGGGGTTTTCTTATTTGCCAATAATATTCAACTCCATTCTTTTTTGTTAAATTTTCTGTATATATATATATATATATATATAAATTATCACTTGATGTCATTGCTCAATCTTTAGATCAATTTTGTACATTGATATAATTGACTCCTATTGTTCTACAGTTTCTTTTGAGGTCAAGACTATCGCGAGAATAAGATGAAGTTTGAAAGATTTTTCTATTGTCTAGAATTACATAAACAGACAACATTGGACCTCTTGTTAATTTTCAGTGACACAATACATGTCCTTTGCTAGTGATAGTCTTAGTGAAGAATCACCAGAGGAATTTTTTTTAATGGAAAATTAGAAATGTGGTTACAAACAAGTCAGAGAGTGTTAAACCATAAGTCAGAATAAGAGTGCAAGTTAAACAAGAACAAAATAAACTATAAGATTGAGGATCATATCATAGTAAAGTTCTCGGAATAAATATGCCATTGATCATATCATAGTTAGTTGAGATCTTTGCTATAGTGAATCCCCACTGGGAATTTTAACAAGGAAACTCAACGGGGAGATATGAAGTTTGAGATTGATTATCGATTTGTTAGTTGTGTTAATTATATCAAAACCGTCTTTCACTTTTCCATGGCAAGAAAAATGCCTGATCTGAAACTTTTATCTTTAAAATTAAGCATTACTATCTAATTTCAAAAAGTAAGAAATAAACGAGAAAAAAGATAATTAGAGTTTTTAAAACACGACAAATTTAAGGTGAAGAAAGATAACAATAAATATTGAACAGAAATAATTTATTAAAAAACAACTAATGATTTAGTCCTTCAGGATAGGGATCAGATTGGAAAAATGGAGAACGCCCCATTGTCGTAACCAGGCTTAGGGTGGACACCCAACTCGCATCAACATAGCGAGATCAATCCACTCATCATTTCCCGTTTCTGCCTGAAGGATCATACTGAATAAATTGTTAATCTCATTTACTTATACCAACCGAATTAGTTCTCTCTCCTTATTCCACCGGTGTGGGACTTAAATGATGATAAACAACACTTTCTTCCAACCCTCTTCTCTTGCATCCTCAAATAAATACAAGATGTTTTTTCTGTAAACATTATAAAGTGTTGGATAACTCTACAGCTGAAGGAAAAATGAAGGCTCCAAACTATTGAGTGACAAACCTCAAAAAATAAACACCAAAGCCAGAAACAAGTCCTTCCTACTTAAATTCACATTGGAGGAAAAAAGATCAGTTGAAACCAAAGTAGAAAGAGTGCAAACAAATGTCTGCGCCAAATAATTTATATACAAATTGGTAAAATGTATCAAAGCAGATATAGTTCTATTGATGTGGTGGTAAGAAGACAAAATGAGAAAATGAGAAAGATGAATGATTGCAGTGCCAGGAATCGTTTCTGTTCCATTTCTCATTTAATAGTAATCAAGCTATTTGTCACTTAAAGCAAGCTCCGTGTAGATGAATATTAAGTTATTCATAGTATATAGTTAGATATATTATATATAAATATAAGGATGAGTGATGAGATTATATTATTCATAAGATAATGTTTGTCCTTTTCGTCATTGGCGTGGTGCATTTTAGAGAGTACAAAATTGAGGTGGAAAGTTCCTTTTGTAATTAGCCTTATTCAATATGTGTTTGAATTGTTGAATAGTTGGTATGAAATGGAAGGTGGCTATGTGGCAAATATGCACCAATACTTTCCGTGAATAAATTTGTGATCCCACACTTTCGCAATTCAAAACATTGATTACAATGAGACACTCAATTTTTTTGTCAATACCTTCTACTTAATAAGGATAACTTGATAACTAAAAAAACACATCAATTTCCCATTAGAGATATAAAAAAAGGCAGTATAATAGAGGTTTAGAAGGCCCAGAGAATATTGTGGAGAAAAATATATAAAAAAAATGTCAGAAGTGGGATTTGAACCCACGCTCTCTCACGAGAACCAGAACTTGAGTCTGGCGCCTTAGACCACTCGGCCATCCTGACTCACATCTAATTGTGTTATTATGTGATATATGAACGATATTTATTATGCTTCTTCGCAGATAAAATTTTATGGGTATAGTAAATTACAGATGGGTCGACTATGGGTATAGTAAGTTATTTTAACAATAATTATACCTATATTTTATGGCCCAATACATGATACTTTGAAAAAAAAATACATGACCGTACTCCCTTGGCACTTAGCTAATGCTATGCCAAGGACTTATCATATTGTTTTATTTAGGACAATTGTAAGGTTATTCAAAAAGTGCGCGTCACTTTTGTGGGTACATAAAAAAAGTGTGCTTCACTTATGTGCTAAGGAAAAAATGTTTGGATAAAAATATAAACTAAAATGAGTTTGAATGTAAGATTAAATGAATAAAAGGTTGTTATTGATATGTGAGACTGCTATTAATATATTGGGTATACAATAACCATTAGGGGGTTGAGTTTACCTTAATGAACCAATGAGTTCACAAATAAAAATAAGCATGACACGTGAGATGTAAGATGTAGTTATTAACCGAAGACATATGTTAAGTGTATGCTCTATGAATTATGATTAAGAACTAATAAGCACCAAAGGCGCCTTATGACCACCAACCAATAAGCCCATATCGCCTATCCAGACATATGGTATTTACCGTGTAAATACTTTAAATATTTGATCCAAGTCTTGTAGTGTATATTTTATTTGATATGTCCTAATTTAAATAATTGTATATAATGAATGGTTGACACTATTATATGTTCAACCAAGACAATATCAGAATTTAATATACTTTCATGTACATTAACAATGAATAAGTTTTATATATTATTATTATATTATCTACTATTCATGTTTGGATGTTGTACGAATGTGTATAAATATTTATACTAACAGTACTTGAAGTAATGTATTTATGGAGCAATTTAAGCACTCCCACAATCATAGCCCTTCTTACATTCCCTTGGCCCAAGTGGCCTAGGGGCAGATGTAGTAGTACTTGTATGGGCGCAAAAGGACCAATAACGTAGCTGATCATATTAAAAAAATTAAAAGGACATGACACAGCTTCTGTATTAAAAAAATACGGCATATTTTCTTCAAACAATAATTAAATTCTAAGACAAATCATGGGATAATATAGTTAACCACTAACGTGTTCCTTTATCAAACTACATGTGGAATAAAAAAACTTATAAGGCTTTCCCCATCTATCTCAAAATGCTAAACCAAAATCTATAGCTCGTCCTTGGTATCATCCGCCTCAGCCTTTGATGCATCTTCTTTTGCATCACTTTCGGACTCAAATTCCTCGGTTTCAACTTCTTCTTCAACATTTGCTTCAGGACTAATATCCAAGCTCAATTTGACTGAGTCATAAATGCGAGAAGTAAAATCCTTGGGATCATTTAGCAGGAAACCACTTTCAAAGAGAGCAGTCTGGTACATCAATTGTGCCGTTTGCTTCACACTCTCATCCTCTGGGTTTTTAATTACTCTATCCCGGAGTTCCTTAATGATAGGGTGTCTGGGATTGATCTCAAGAACCCTCTTTCCACGCATGTATGCTTGCTTGGCAGGATCTAATAAAGTTTGAGACTGCATTATTCTCTCCATGTTAGCACTCCAACCAAATTTTGACGTCACTACCACACAAGGAGTGTTATCCAAACGGTTGGATATCTTCACATCCTCAACATTCTCACCAACAAGGGAGCTTTCCCACCACTTAGTAAGATCCTTGAAGGATTCCTTCAGTTCCTTGTCTTTTGCACTCTTGCCTAGTTTCAGGCCCTCCTTCGACACATTTTGGAACTTCTTGTCTTCGTAATCCATCAGGTATTGCATCAAGTACTCATCAACTGGATCAGTGAAGAAAATAACCTGCAGCAGTTCAATAAAAAAAAGCTTTTAGAAACACGTCTCAACACAAGTATTATAATTTTATAAAAATCGAGAAAGTAATGAGCATATAATAAAATTTTGGAACCAAAGAGACTTCACACAAAAAATTTGCACCTCATAATTTTTCTTTTTAAGTTGCTCGAGGAATGGAGATTTTTCCAACTGTTCTTTGCTGGTTCCAGTTATGTAAAAGATATCCTTCTGTCCAGATTTCATTCTAGAGATGTACTGATCCAGAGAAGTCAATTTTCCCTCGGACTTGGTGCTGTAAGAGTTTAAGCATTGAAAAATTTGTCAACAAATAAAAGCTGGAAAAATAAAGTTGCAGAAAATGATTTTTTTATTACAAGGAATTGAGTAACATACGTCTGAAATCTGAGCAGTTTTGCCAAACGATTTCTGTTAGTAGCATCTTCGATGATACCAAGTTTGATGGACTTTCCAAACTTATTCCAAAAATTAGCATATTGACCTTTTTTCTCATCATTGTCAGATGACACCTCTACTGGACCAAACATTGATGAAAAGGCAAAGTCAATAAATGGGATTGAGGAAACCTCTCACAAATACCTTCAAAATACTAGAAAAAGACACAGCTTCCTCTTGACACAAAGAAAGCCTAAAAATTTAGGCTGACAAAGAAGACCTGGACAACCTTGAAGACCAAAATAGGATTAGGACTCCAACACAAGAAACTGATAGATTTGTTATCCCGTACCTTTGTTGTCTTTGTCAGCGGACTCATCAGGATCCTCATCAGCAATCCTACGGATCATATCAAGGGCTTTCCTTATAAGTTTCTTCTTGATTGTCCTTAGACTACTGTGTTGTTGAAGCATTTCTCGTGATACATTAAGTGGCAATGAGTCAGAATCAACAAGACCCTGTTCCCAAAATAAATAAAAATTACATTCATTAAGATGAAATATTTTGATCGCACAAAATTAAACTGAGCTACAATCACACTGCAAGGTTACCTTCAAAAAGCTGAGGTATTTTGGCAACAATTCATCAAATTCATCTGAAATAAACACTCTTCTAACATACAACTTCAGGTTGGATTTATTTGCATTATAATAACTCTCATATAAATCACGAGGAACTTTAGGTGGCACAAACAGGACAGCCTTGAACTCAACATCCCCTTCCGCAGTAAAGTGACTCCATGTCATAGGTTTCTCATCACTAAAATCCTGCAGGACACAAAACCAATACTTTATGAATATTAAGAACTTTAAGGCGAAATGAAATTATACTCCATGCACTGTATCCCATGAATAATGAAGATGTAAACACTACCTTGACAAGAGTGTGGTAGAATTTGTTGTACTCTTCATCTGTAACATCCTTTGGATTCCGCAGCCATATAGCTTTAACATCATTTAAAACCTCCCACTCATAAGTTGTTTCCTTCACCGTCTTTGTCTTGGGCTGTTTCTCAGCATCTTCATCTTCATTTTCATTTTCTTCCTCGGAGCTGGTTTTAGCTGATTAAAAGGTGAAATAAGGTAAGAGAGGCAACATGCGTTTTAAAAATAGAAGAATGTTCAAACACCAAAACAATATATTGAAATATGTTATAAATGGTGACATCACCAAATGGACATATAAAATTATACATACATGATTTCTCCTCCTCGCTAGTCTCATCCACATCAGCAGGAACCTCAACATCAACCTCTTTGCTTGCCCAAAGATTGATAGGGAAGTTAATATATTCAGAGTATTTCTTCACCAATTCCTGTGAGAAGAACAGTATTGAATCAGATGCGGCAATAAAATTTGGCCTAAATGCTTAAGAAACCTCAAACTCTCCAGGTGCAACAGCAAGGGAACCACCTTTTAGAGGAAAATATAAGTGTAGAAGTGAAAAATAAGATTAAAAAATGAATCACGACAAAGGATATTTTCAAAAGATATAACTGCCAGTTTTTGAAGGCATAACAAATTGATGAAGAGCCCACAATTTTTTTTTTGTAGTAGATCAGAAGCTCAACATAAAGGTAGAGAAAACCAAAGA